GGCAGGCTCCATGCTCAATGCAAAGCCTGACATGGTGCTTGATCTCACAACCCTGATGATATGACTGAGCTGAATTAAGAGTTGGATGCTTAACCAACGGAGCCACCCAGGCACCCCTAAACTTTTTTTAAATATAAAAATATATAAACACACATTTTATTAGCTGTGAGAGTGATGTTATCATTATATATGATGAGATCACAAGTAGCCTCTGGAAAAAATTCCACCATATCTAATGAGAAAATGAGAGTGGAAAGACAATGCCTTAGTATTAGTATGAAAATATTTCTGACCTTGAAGACTCTCAAGAAAGGGTCTTGGGATCTCCAGGTATCCCCAGACAAACTTGAAAACTACTGATCTAAACTATTGCTTAGAGAAGACACTACCAAATTTGCAACCAGGTAGGGAGAATCAATATGAAAATTATGTCAACAAAGTAGAAAGTATAGCTGAAAGAGTTTGATGACATGGTTTTCGATCCTGAATTTAGCCAACCCTGAAGCTATATACCTGTCTGGAATTCATAGCTGTGTAGCTTTTTGGCTTAAGCTAGGATTAGTCACTTGTAACCGAAATGTTCTCATACATCTGGTTTTCCAGCTGGGGACCTCAGAGAAAGAGAGTAAGGGTGAGAAAAATAAAAAGGACCAGGGCACAAAATTATTCAAGCAGAAATTTGGGCGGCAGAAATATAATATCAAAAGCCCAAGAAAAGTTCAAATTTATTCTTATAAACATGGCAGACATTGGAAAACACTGTCCTAATTATTCCCAAATAAGTGCCACCAAATTCCGTGGACGACTGTGGAGGCTCAGCTTCACTAAAAGACAACAAAGGCATCAAAACTAACAGCAAAATGTCAGTTTCATTAGTAAGAATGTATAAATTGATCTTACTAGACTTTGAAAAATTCTAATTTAGAAAACTGCTCTTGTGGGGAAAAGCATTAGACCATTTAGTTCAAATGTTAAAAATTTCCCCAGTATTCTCTACTGTAGAGTGTTTTCCTCTAAGCATGTGTCTAATTTCTAAATCCCAGCTTTTAAAGAAACTTTGTCGTTCTTTGAACCTTTGTCGTTGCCTGTACTGGCTTGAATAGTGTCCCCCACCCCCAAATTTCACATCCACCGAGAATCTCAGAATGTAACCTATTTGGAAATAGGGTCTTTGTAGATATAATTTGTTAAACAGGGATCATACTGGATTATAGTGGGACCTAAATGGAATGACTGATATTCTTCAAGAAGTCCAAGTGAAAATACACACAGACTAGAAGGCCATGTGATGAGGGAGGCAAAGATTGAAGCCATGTAGCTACAACCCACGTAATGCTAAGGATTGCTGGCAACTACTAGAAGCTAGAAAGAGGCAGAGAAGAATTCTTCCCTAGATCCTTCAGAGAGAGCATGGCTTTGCTGACAGCTTCTTTTTAGATTTCTGGGCTCCAGAACTTTGAGAGAATAAATTTCTGTTGTTTTAAGGTACCCAGTTTGTGATAGTTATGGCAGCCCTAGGGACTAGTACATTGTCTAACTCAGCCAATCTAAAGTTCATCTTGACTATAATCAAGCTTCCTTTGAGGAAAATAATAGGTTAAAATCAACCAGAATTTCACCTTGCACCCATTTTTGTTGTGCTGAATACACAGAACAAAATTTACAATTTTAACCATTCAGTAGCATTAAATATATTCAAACTGTTGCACCCATTTTTAATTGAGTCAGTTTTAAATGTGGCTGTTAGCTTATCAGGAAAGAGGCAAGAATGGAATAAGCTTTAGAGGAAGAATAATTTTTTTTTGCCAAATTTGTTCTTGTTCACGTCTAACGTCAATGAGGAGAGTCTGACCCCAGAAAAGCCGATAAGTTTTTACTTGATACTGAAATTGTGATTAGCCACAGGAACACTAAAGTACTTGGAGGGCTAAGTGTAAACACACTCTTATTAGAAAAAATTCAACCTTTACCATAATTTCTACTGATAAACTTTCATCTTCATAATGAAAGTCACTATGAAAGGCAGATGTTTACCTATCTTTTGTGTTAATTTTTAGTTAATGTAAACTTCTGTAGTTTTCATTAAAACCTTTAGAGAAAGTGAATCCTTGGGCACTGCTAATTCTTTATGCACAAACTCTTTTTCATTTCCTGTTTTCCCCTTTCCCTCAGTATAGTCCTAAGACATTTGTCAATATTCAGGAATGCTACCCTCTTCTTACATTGGTTTGAAAATTTTTCTGTTTTAATGCTTGATTCCAGGATGAATTTTGAAGAAATGTCATACTATAAAACAGGAGTAAAAAATATGTGTATACTGCAATATTCAATAACCAGCAGTAAAAGAGAAGTCACGTTAGACAGTAAGGTGCAAATTTTATTACAAATTGCTAAATTCAGCAGAGATGAATATACTTGAGCAAAATTGTTGAAAAACAAGCACATATTAGTAGTTGTTCAGCTTAGTTCTATTAATATTACTTTTTTCAGCGATTTTAGTAGTTTTAGCAAACAAAACTCCAAAGGTTAATTCTCACCTTTCCCAATTAAATTTCACCATTATTACTTTTATATAGAAATTTCCTTGGGGCTCCTGGGTGGCTCAGTGGGTTAAAGCCTCTGCCTTCAACTCAGGTCATAATCCCAGGGTCCTGGGATTGAGCCCCCCATCCCACCGCATTGCATCTGGCTCTCTGCTCAGTGGGGAGCCTGCTTCCCTCTCTCTCTGCCTGTCTCTCTGCCTACTTGTGATCTCGTCTGTCAAATAAATAAAATCTAAAAGAAAGAAAAGAAATTCCCTTGTTTTATTTTTTTTACCTTTTAAAAAATTTAAGCTCAATTTAATTAACTATAGTGTATTATTAGGTTCAGAGGTTAACACCCCGTGCTCATTACCTCAAGTGACCTCCTTAAAGCCCCATCACCCAGTTACCCCATCCTCCCAGCGACCTCCCCCCACAGCAACCCTGGTTTGTCTAAAGTCCCCTGTTTTCTGTTATTTATTGTGAAACAAAAATATCAGTTTCTTTCCATGAATAATTATAGAATATTCTGAGACGGTGTTTATTGAGACAACCACTTTACTTAAAGAGTGCTTATATAGTCCGAAACCTTAAAAAACCCCAACTTAGTTTAAGGTTATAGAACCTATTAGTAGCCAGGTTTAGAATTTCTCTCTAAAAATTCAAGACACTTTAAAATCATTTCAAATTTGAGGGTGCTGTAGGTAATAAGATAGATTGGAAAGGTAGCAATGTCACCAACTATTTGCTCTTCATCTTTAGTTTGAGATAAACCATTTTCTTGGACATACTTTCACATTTCATTATCTCTCTCATATGAAACTAGTTAAGAATCTGTTGGTCACCAGGCTCTGTGGTGATAGATTAAAGGAAATGGCTTTATGATCTGGCTTAAATTTTTAATCTACTGCCAAAAATACTGGCAATACACATACTCAAAAGAAATTTTACTACTTTTTAAATCCCAGCTTAATTTCACCCATCATCTCCTTTGTATTCCCATTATTTAAAATACGGAACAATATGAATTTTAAGTTAGAGGACAAGTCCATGTTCCAATGGCACAACAAAAAACATAAAGACCAAATTAGCTGAGATTTTAATTGTGTACAAACGATGAGTATACATTTTTGACCTTTGCTTTTCATTCTCACGCTTCCCAGATTTTTACCATGACTGAGAACATAAGTGAAAAAAAATATGTGCATTATTTTTTAATTCAGAAGTTGAAAGGGCTAGGAAGATAGGAACTAAGGAACCGATGTGAAATAGCCACAGGTGATTAAGAACACATTTTTGAAAGATACGTGAAAATAAGTGGCAACATAAGTTATTTTCATGGTAATTTCACATCCCACAAATACTCAAATCTGTCATTTGTCACGGCCTGAGTTCTACTTCCAATTTTGCGATCGTGGGTCAGGGGAAAGGAACACGTTCTTCTCGTTCTCTAAGATTGGTGCTTTTCACCTAAAAGCAGAGACCGTGGTGATGAAGCGTAAGGCCACGAAACCAGGGGGCAGCGGGAGGGAGAAAAGCCAGGTATCCCCATTCAAGAGGCTCTGCTTCGCTTGTGAAGATCGTCTAGTGGGTTTCGACTTGGAGATGGAATCCTAAAAGCACACGAGAAGCGGATATCCTCCGGCAGGGCGAGCAGACGAAGGAAGCAAGCGGGAAGGTGAGGCGGGACAGGATAACTCCTCCTTCATCCACGGCGGGCTCAGCGGCCACTGTTGTGCCACCATGGAGCTTTCTAAGCCACTTCCAGGTGCCCTGAAGTTTTCAGAGGGTCGGGCTGGCCGCGCCCCAGGGCTTGGAGGAGAGGCCCAGCTAGCGGAGTCCTTCTCTCGTCCCCTTGGGAGAGCCGCTCGACCGCTCCGAGAGCTGCCCCGCGGCGCTAACGACGAGGCGCTGGCTCGGCAGGGGATTGCTTCTGTCTGGGGCTCGGTTGAGGCTGCGTTCGGGTCTCGCGCGCACCCGTTCCGCGTTCTCCAGCCAATCCGGCGCTACTCGCGCGCCCAAGAGCGTTCCCCTGTCCTTTTCGGGCTGGGCTATCTCCTTCCCGCTCCCAGTACTCCGCAGCCGGGCTCTCACACCTCCCCTCACTCTCCACGAGTTCCACGCCTCGCGGTGTGGCTCCGCCCCTGTCCCCGAGTCCGCCCCCGCAACCGTCCGAGCGTGTGCATTCCTTTCCCTTCACTCTCCTGCTATCCAGCGGGTCTGGGTCTCAACGGCCTCACTCGGACGCCTACGCGCGCTCTCCCTCTGCGGCCACCGCTGCCCCCGCCCGCAGCTAGCCGCCTCCGATCTGGACTCGGGGTCGCGCGCCCTGACTCCGCCCCCCCACTCAGCGGACTCGCGCACTCCCGGCCCGGCTTCTAACCCGCGCAGGCCGCGGAGAGCCTGGCCGCCTCCCCCTCCTTCTCCGCTCCTTTCGAGCTCCCCCGGCGCTCTCGCTCTCGCGCTCTCCGAGGCGAGCGCGCTCCCGGCCCGCGCGCTCCGGGCTCCGGCTTCTCCCCGCTCCTGTCAGTGCGGTGACTGCGCTGGGAAACATGGCGACCGAGGGAATGATCCTCACTAACCACGACCATCAAATCCGTGTCGGAGTGCTCACAGGTAACCCGGGAGGGAGGTGCGGGACCGCCGCGGCCGCTGTCCCCGACTAGTCTCAGGCACGTCGCCTGTGGTGACTCTGATCTGCGGCCTCGGGAGGAGGGAAGGCTGAGGAGGGGGACGGGGGGGGCGTTTTACAACCGCGGAGAGCTGACAGAGGTTGGGGTGTTCCTGCGGGGCCCCCCCGGGAGCTGGAGCCGGCCCGTGGGATGTCAGGCCCCATGCCTTCGCAGCCGAAGTCCCTGGCCCCGGGGGACTGAGGGGCCGGTGCGGCGGGCGCTGCGGGGCTTCTTGCTGCCGGCGCAGGCGGCGGGATCCCGGCTCCGCAGAGAGAAGCACGCCGCTCTGACTGGCGGGCGCGCTGCCTCCGCTAATGCTCGTCTCAGAGAGGGGGGATTCCCATTTCCACTCCCTCCTTCCCCTCCCCCTATCCCAGCGGCCCCGAGCCGCTCTAGCTTTGCTTGCCCTGGGCACCCGCCGGACACGACACGGGTGAATATCAGGCGAAACTCCGCTCTGCCTTAGGCTGCCCCTGGCCAGCGGGGCATCCCCCTCAGTCACCCGTGGGACACCCCTTGTCTCTTTCGAGAGGTTGGGGGATCGCTTGCACCCAGACCTCGGAAAGTGTCTGCGTTCCGCCTCTCGGAGCTAAGGGCCCTCTGCCCGCCTCTTCCCTTTCTTGGAGGGACGGGCTGCACCCTGCGGCTGGGGCTTTTTACTTGAGAGGGTAGGATTCCTCGACTTGGGCTACTCTGTTCTCCTCCCTTCTGGAACCCCCCCCTCCCAACCCGGACGGTCCCAAGGCTTGTGAGGAGCGCACTTTTCCTGGGTCTCGTTTCCCTCCCTCACAGGAGCTGTGTGTGCTCTGCATGTCTGATTCCGTTGCGTTGTATTTGGGTAATATCCCTCAGTTCGGCGATAGGCAGTTGCTGCAGGGCACGACTTCCGAGATGAACAGCAAGCCAATTTGTAGGGGTTTCTGCTGTGGTTCTGTAATTGGCAAGGTTTATGTGTAATTCAGTGGCGAGGTGGGGGTTAAGGAACTATAATTGGAATCTAAGGGCTTAGTTTGGAGTGAAGGAAATTCAAGACACACTGATGTGATTTCGGAAAAAGAAGAGATGTAGACGGGAATCCTTGTGTCTCCCCCGTCCCCCGCCCGTCACTTCTTAATTTTTTTTTTCTCTTGTCAAATTCTGACAGGTTGAGACGGTGCTCGGGAAGGGTCTAAATTGAATGAGACTTGCTTTTATCAGGTAGAAAAAAAAATCTCTGTAGATACTGAGTGCTAAGCTTAATTTTGGCTGCTGAGTTTTATGAAAAGGTGTACCCATGGCACCCCTTCTTCTCTTTTAAGTTAAAGGGTTGCTTTGCCCTGGTATGCTTTCCACTTGTTAATTTTGAATTCTCCTAATCAGAAGCCCCTGGATAGAGAAACTAGTCTAAACCAGTTGCAGGGAAAGGGAAATCCCTCCTCCCCCAACTCAAATGATACGCTGTTCTCTTCTTTTGGTGCTGAAACTGTTGCCTTGTGTGAAGATTCAGTTGTATTAGAATTCTTAGAGTTGACATTGCTGATTTTCAAAGAATCTAACCGTGGGATGTAAAAATGTATAGCCTATATCATCCTTCAACTTGCATTTTAAATTCCAGCTGGTTTTGAAAATTAATAGAGTAGTAATAGTGAAGCTTTATAGAAATCAAAGTATTTCAGCTGTCCATGGAAATGAAAGGTCAAAGCTGTTTTAAAGTTAAACCACAGAGATTAAAGAAGAATCATATTTTCTTTTGCTCGTTTAAGCTTTCCCTAAGAGTTTTATATAGTGAATCATCTTGCCTGGGTCAAGTAACACAGATGCGTATATAGAATACTTCGAAAGATACAGCCCTTATCTATATCCCTGCAGTCCAATAGGGCTAACATTGATATGCAAACAACTAAAGAAACAATGTATGTAATTACTGTGCTACAATTGTTTAAATAAATTACATGTGTGTTTGAGGGGCAAAATGTAAAAGGAATTCCATTTCAGAGTGCATTAGGAGCAAATATAACTAACTACCTGAAGGGAGAATTTGGTTAATTTACCAAAGATAAGAAGAAACTGGCATTTTAAAGGGGAGTTGAAAGTCAGTGGCAACCTTATAAATGAATATGTTTGTGAGGATGAGGCTCTTGAGCAGAATAAAAATGTAACTCAAAGACCTTGAAAAGCTTAGGTGGAATAGGTGGGTGGCATAGGCAAAATGTCAAGGAGAGAAGATAACTTTGGCAGTGAATTAAAGGTAATCTGGAGAAGCTGTCTCATGAAAATGAGGTACAGTAGTTTAGGGGGAAAGGTCTTGGGTCAAGAATAAGGATGTAACTGAAGGAACAAAAAGGAAGTTGACGGATTTGGGAGAAGTGGTAATAGAGGACAATTGGATGTGCTGATAAAATGGATATTTGAATTCAGAAATAACTGATGTTTTTACTTGAAAAGTTATTGTCTTTTCTGTGGTGGAGCCTGGAAACAGAAGAATCAAAGGAAGGAGCACCAGCCCTCAACCTGCAATGAGAGAATTTATTATAGACAACTTACGGTCTTGACATTCCATGTGATTTTGTGCAAGAAAAAATACAAAAATGAGGTTATATTGTGTATTTTGTGTCTTTTAGAACTTTAGGTGTTTTAGTTTTACTGTGTAAAGTTTTTTTTTTATTGAACTGAAGTACTATGATTTCATACTTAAGAAAATTGAATTAAGAGGCCACACTTAAAACTGTGATTTTATGAGTTGCAGTTTGTGGCTTTCTTAAAGGTCATAATAGTGATTCTTAGTATTTTATCTATTTTACAAAGGTGGTTGAAAGTATTGTCTACCCATGCACACTTTAAAAAAAAAAAGATTTTATTTATTTATTTGACAGAGAGAGACAGCGGGAGAGGGAATACAAACAGGGGGAGTGGGAGAGGGAGAAGCAGGCTTCCTACTGAGCAGGGAGCCAGACGCTGGGCTCTGTTCCCTGGAATCAGGACCTGAGCTGAAAGCAACTGCTTAATGACTGAGCCACCCAGGTGCCCCAGCTTGCACACATTTTATAATGTGTTTGTATTTTGGTGAAATTGTATTGCCATTTCTCCAAGCCTTCAATTGACTTTCTTTGTGACATTTTTAAAAAATTATCTGTTGAAAGAATATTTATATTTTGAAACTATTGATCCTTTAGATTTTTTTTTAGTCTTCATCTCAGCTATGAATTTTACAAATAAATGTATGCAGTCTATTGAAACTTCTCCTCAAATAATACTAGAATTTTGAAACAGTGGCAGGACAGTATTTAGCAATGATATTTCTTTTTTGCTTGATGATTCTTGAATTATTTTGGACTAGGAAATTAGATTATAATAATTAGTGTGACATGGCTATTTTAGTTATACAAATTATTTTTCATCAGGAAAGTGGGAATGTTTATATATATAAAAATTGGTTATCATGGAAACATTTTAGGTTGACAATTATTGCCATCTGTAAGAACAATACCTTTATTAATAACTGTCTTATGTTGATTGCTAGAAATGAGTGTTATATGACCTTTGGTGACATGAGATCTAGCTTTTAGTATATGTGTTTTCTACTTCTCTTGCTATTTATAACAGAGACTAAAGGTAATGTGATGATGCATGAGGCAAATAAAGAGATATTTGCTGCTCTGAAGCTAGAAACAAGATGTAGGGCAAATGTAAGATTCCTGCCCCCCCAATAACATTAGTAGTAATTATACTTATTGCCAGTCTTAACAATTACATAGCAGAATCGTATTTTAATGTGTCACTTTTCATCTACTTTTTCTAATGAGAACTGTTTATCAGGAGAGCACTGTAATTCTACCACTGTAAGAGCTCCACAGAAACATCAGGAAAATAATGAATATGTGCATTTATATAATGTAGAGTGAGATATGTGATACTCCATTGGCTATTTAATATTGTATTAGCTATTGCTAATGTTCAGTACTAGCATGTTTAGCACTTAGCTGAAGATGATAATCCATTACTTAAATTTTCACTAACAGTAATATGGATGATAAAAAGATACAAATTTTTAAGAAAGAGCATTTTGAAGTCATTTTTTTGCTCCAGTAGTATACATTTTTATTGCACTAAGCTTTAGATCTGTAATCAGCAAAAGATATTAGAACAAATATAAGACTGGATAAGAGAGATAAAAGACTATAAAATAGAGCATCAAAAATATTTGTTGCTTATAGGGAGTATTTTAGTCATTCATAAATAGTTATTAAAAATATTTAAAAAAACCCTTAGCCAAGGAGATTATAATCAAATTAAGTCTAGAGTTGTTCAAGCATTTATTTTTATTTCATTCCTCAAGCTTATCCTTGTACATAATAAGTTTTCATAGTTTTTCTGAACAAGTTTTCAAGGTTTTCTGAAAAGCCTATTTAGTGATAAAGATATATTTATATACCTGGTTTGAGAATATGTGTTGTCATTAAGTAGGCAAATTAATATTGCAAACCAAATCTGAATCCTACCAAATGGAATTCTGTGTTTTGGCAAACATACCAATATTGATCTGTTTGATCATTGTTAAAAAGAATGCTATGTCTCAAACTAGGTCATTCCTTCCTGAATTTTTGGTTGGAACCAATGTATTAGAGAATTAAATGTTTAGCTAAAGTAGGAAATAACATGTTAATTACTAATGTATATACTACTATCATCACTGGCTAAAGACTTCTAAATTATTAGTACGTATGTTGTTACATATTAAGAGTTTTAACTATATTAAAACCACATATGACTGTTTGACATTAACTGAGGTGTATAGTGGAGAATCAGCAGTTTGTTGCTGAGGGGAAATGATGAATAAGAATCTATTTTTATTCTTATTGGTGATAGATTCCCATTTAAGGTGAATAGGGTGCTTTTGGAAACAGTAAGTAAAATAGGTAAAACCTATACTTTGTTCCTGTAAATAGGATTGAAGAACAAGGAAAC